GGTTAGAGCAGGTGGGGCTGGGAGCCAGGACTCCTGGGTTCTCTCCCCAGCTCTGGGAAGGGAGTGGGGGCTGGTGGGTTAGAGCAAGGGGGGCTGGGAGCCAGGACTCCTGGGTTCTCTCCCCAGCTCTGGGAGAGGAGTGGGGGTTGGTGCGTTGGAGCAAGGGAGGTTGGGAGCCAGGACTCCTGGGTTCTCTCCCCAGCTCTGGGAGGGGAGTGGGGGCTGGTGGGTTAGAGCAGGGGGGGTTGGGAGCCAGGACTCCTGGGTTCTCTCCCCAGCTCTGGGAGGCCGGAAGGTCGAGGCCAGGCGGAGGCGGGAAGCAGAGGCCGTCACTGGGCCCTGCTGGGGTGGGCGGGACGTTGCCCCCTTCAGGCCCGGAGGCCACGGCTCAGGACGTAGCGCGAGGCCATGGCCAGGTTCCAGCGATGCTTCTCCAGGATGCGCCGGCACTCGACCCGGGAGTGTGGGCTGATGTGGAACAGCTGGTCAACCTGCCGGGAAAATGGGCATGTCAGGGGCCTGTCCCCTCTAGGGGGCGCCGGCTCCGACCTGGCCCCAGGGCAGGGAGGGGGGTTCTGACTGCTACCTTCAGCGTCTCGATGGCTCTCTGGGTATCCCAGCCGTGCAGCCTCAGCGCCTCGCGACACTCCTCCACCGTCACCCCATGGACCTTCTCCTCCACCTGCGGCAGGACGACAGACGAGAGGCTGAGACCCTGCCGGGGCGGGCCACCAGCCCCCCAGCCTCCGCCCCGCAGCCCCCCCACGATGCCTGGGAAAGGGATGGTGTGTCAGGACTCCTGGGTTCTCTCCCTGGCTCTGGGAGGGGAGTGGGGGCTGGTGGGTTAGAGCAGGGGGGGCTGGGAGCCAGGACTCCTGGGTTCTCTCCCCGCCTCTGGGAGGGGAGTGGGGGCTGGTGGTTAGAGCAGTGGGGGCTGGGAGCCAGGACTCCTGGGTTCTTTCCTCAATCACTCACCTCTTTGATTTTCCACTCCATGTCACTGTTGCCGTTCTGCCCCCCACATGGGGGCCCCATGACCCCCACTGCAGCCCTGTGGGCCCCCCCAGAGGCCCTGGTGCCCCCTGCCTCCCTCCTGTCCCTGGCCCCAGGTTGCTGGAGTGGAGCATCGATCCTGCGGGGTAGGCAGGGCCGAGGGGCAGGCCGTGACTTCGGGGGTGTCTCCAGGGGCCGCAGCCCCATTTCCCCCGGCAGGCGAGACGGTGGGTGGCCGACGTGACGAGGCAGGAAGGCAAGATTGTCACCCGGACGCGTGGGTTTCGCCCGAAGGACGCTGAAATCCGACACTGAGTCCAGACTCTTAGAGAGACCTAGGAAGGGGGAAAGGGAAACTGAGTCACAGTTGGACTCCTGGGTTCTCTCCGCGGCTCTGGGAGGGGAGGGGAGGGGTGGCCGGTGGGTTAGAGCGGGGGAGGGGCTGGGAGCCTGGACTCCTGGGTTACCTCCCCGGCTCTGGGAGGGGAGTGGGGGCTGGTAGGTTAGAGTGGGGGAGGGGCCGGGAGCCCGGACTCCTGGGTTCTCTCCCCATTCCCTTCCAGCCCATATGGTAACAGCAGAGCCGTGCCCTCCCGGCCCCCCCAGCGCCCCCGCCGGGCTGGCTGGATACTCACGCGTCAGCCGGAGAAGCTGCTGGCTCCCCGGCTTGATCCCGCCGGGCTCTTTAGGGTCCCGGGGCTTCCCCTGCGGCCTGGGAGGGGGGCAGACAGGGGCGGGGGGAGAGAGGGAGGGTTAGTTGTGTGGGTCCTTGGGGGTAATTCCTAGATCCCATCTGGAGGGGGGGCACTTTGGGGTCCCTGCCCCAGGTCACAGCCCACCCCACACTTAGGGGTTGTCATGGAAACCCCTGGGGGGAGATGGGTGAGCTGGGAGGGGGGCAAGGGAGAGGCCTGGTA